AAGAAAAAAATGTATAATCCTTTGGACCAACAAAAAGGTTTTGATCAAATGATGAAAATGTATTAGACCAAACTAGAAGAATATACCAGGAAAATGTAACTTCCATCCCCAAACTATTGCTGCCGCTGGTAATCATCATAAGCTTTTCCTTGGTAGTTGTGCTCAGACCCATTTCTCTCAGAGGTTTCAAATGTTCCGAATTCATTGTTTATAGAAGAATCTCTAATTTCTTTTTCTCTATTCCACTGCTCAATTTTTGCCCTTCTCTCAGCACTGCCCTCCCTTGTCATGCCAGTATACTCATTCTTTCCAGAGTCATGATGTTCTCTCTCCCTATTCCATTGTTCAATCTTTGCCGTTCTCTCGGCACTGCCTTCCCTACCTGGACTCCTATTTCTCCTCCCTGAAGGACTTCGACTTTGTCCACCTCTTCTTCCTGGGCTTCTGCTTCTAGGTCTCCGTCCCCTATCATGGTGACGATGATCACCTCTCCTATGATATCCATGGCTAGTCTGTTCTTCGTGACCACGACGTCCATGTGGGCTACGGCTTCTGCTATGACTGCGTCTTCTCCTGCTCTTTCCAAATAACTGCCGCCTCAGATCTCTTCAAATGCCAATGCAACAAATTAGTCACCACATACCAAAGAGAAGAGCCATGTAAGTTGCAATTGATAGAGAGAAAGAGAAAGGCATACCGGTTTATCTTTTTAAGATGCATGAAGTTGCAGTAGCCACCTCGATTGCATACATTTTCCTCATACTGTCTACAAGTGGCTTCACGAAAGTCAGTTACTGGAGAGAAGTCAACAATAATGGGACGCCCTGTGTATGCAAATGACAAATGGCGAATGGAAAACACAATTAGAGAATAAAAGAATTCTTTTTGTTAAATAACCATAATTGTATCTTACAGCAAACAATAAATACCCTAAGATGCCAAACCTCAAATCATGATTTCTTTTTGTCACATGCTGCACTAATGCCAAGTTATTCTGACACAACATCTGAACAGACCCTTTTAAGGCAAGTATAAAGCAGTACGTTTACACAGATACAAAGCAATATGGGATCTTCTGGGGGAAATGTCACCCAGTTTCTAGTGACCAGTGAATGAGAAAGTAGAATTTGGAACAGAAAGAAAAGAATACAAGTGATATAAAAACTGATCAACTACAAGAAAGACCATCACAACTAACCGGCATAAAACCTTCCTGAAAGATTCTGAAGAGCTTTTGCAGCATGATCTTCCTCTCTGAATTGAACATACACGTTACCAACCTAAAGCAAGAAATAAAACACATTAAAAATTGTTTACTTTAAAATTTATTAGAAATATAAACCTTCTAGAATGAGGGCCCTAGACATACCATGTGGTCCGCTAAATTATCACAGATATTGAGATTCTCAATCTCACCGTACTTACTGAGTTCCTCGAACAAATCCTCATAGAAGTCCTGTACGTTTTCATTTTGAAAGAACTTTAGCTATTAAAAGTTGACTTCAAAAAACTCTTGCAGGAAATTAGAATACGAATTCAATAACCTAATACCTAAAACACTCAAATAGAAGAACAACAGTGCGCCAGCTAAAGATTTTGGGCATAAAAATTAACGCACATACCTCGAAGTGGGTCTGGATCTTGCGGGGATCAAGAGGTTGACCTTGGGGATCAACGCCGGGGGTTATCATGTCGGGGCGTTGATACATATTTGAGAGGAGGATGGTGGGGCTGATGCTAGGCTTGGTGTGAAGGCGCGAGCAGCGGTCTCCATGACGGCAAGCGCCTATCTTGAAGTAGAACGGGCAGTTCACCCTATCCTTTTCCGTTCCGAATATCGACGCCAAGTGTTCCGCCATTGCTCTACTACTCGAAAACGACGGCTTTCTCTGTGATGGATTCGGAAGCTACCGACGGACGTTCACGAACAATATTAGGGTTTCCCCGTGTTAGCTATTTGAAGGATCTTTCCAAGTAAATTATGACAGATCGGAGGCTAATCTCGTCCCAATCAAATACTCCTTTCCTTTGTCCCATATACATTTTCCAAATAGTCCGGCCCTTTTTCTTTGTTCACAATAAATTTTCTCATTTCACTTTTTAACAATTAAAATACCAAAACTACACTCACTTACTTTATTTATTACACTTCACCCAACTCATTTAATACACTCCATCCATTTTCATTAAGGGTATTATGGTAAACTTTCACTTCTTTTCAACTCTCTTTAAAAACCACCAAAAATCAAAATGAGAACATCTTAGGGAGGACAGAGGGAGTAGAACTTTTCTTTTGTGTGCTTCCTATTTTAGTAAGAGCCTTTCTTTTAAGTTCTCTTTCCAAACTTGAAAAATGACTATCGAAAAAATGATTTTTGGAAAATTGACTATTTTTTAGAAATAATTTACTACTTTTTTAGTGTGTTTGGATGAAAATTTGAAAATTATCTGTTTCTCTTTGATTCATTATTGGAAACTTACGATTAAAAATTAAGAAAATTAGATTTGAACACCATCCAATTGAAAGTGGAATGGGGATGGAAATTCAAACACTTGAAATTAAATATCAGATGATATTCGTGCAAAGCTTGGAATCAGACCCTTCGGAGAAAAATTGGGATGGAACGATGCAATTCAAAGCACCAGGCCTCGATCTGTTGTCTTCCGCTTCTTGCGTAACGACTCGAAAACTAGTTTAATAGTTAGCCTTTATTTTAATAAAAATAAATATAATATTTTTTACTCAAAAATATGAAGTATTCGTAAATTTGACATTTTTATTTGAAAATTCTATTTTTGAACAGATCTCGTAAAATGATGACCAACGGTATATGATTTGTTAAGTTTGAACTTACGTATAAAGCGTGATGAGTGAAATAGACATTACAGTTCAATAAATAAATATAAAGATTTTATAATATAATATAATAATAATAATAATAACAATAATAATAATAAAACTACAACTCAAGTTCTTTAAACACACAAATCCTAAATTAAATCGTATTAGAAGCCCAAATCCACTCCATTACAAACTACATATAAATATCTGTTTATACGGAGTACCGAGGGGCGTCTTTGTTGATGCACAACTTCAAGTGTCCTCTCCACTAAACACCGACCGAATCAGACCAAGGAGCTACGCCGGAGTATTTGCCGAAAATAGCCCAGCCAATATTTGGCGTCGTCACCCTTTGCCGTCAGTCTTTGTGTTTAATGTTGATTTGTTTGGTTCGTCTAATTCGTCAATTAATCGAGGAGAGTACATGGACATCTAACGCTAGATTATTCGTATAGATTTGAAATTCATGTTCGTGATCTCGTATGATTGATTATGTGATCTATTTGATTATAATTTGAATTATGATTTATTAAAAATATATGATATTATTGGAATTGATTGGTCGAGGAAGTCCATGTACGTTTTCTTACTCTAATTTGCGTGACCTACGTGTTAATAATCTCCAAAAACATTATACGTATTGAATGGTTTGAAATTGGATCGAAATCTGTTGTATCAATGTTTTCCCGACGTCAAACAGTTGCTAGGTACCGCCACAAAATGATTTTTTTTGTCGGTACCTAAGCCCGAACGTGGGGGGGTACTGGATCAATGGTACCAAGGTACCACCAGGCGGTTCCAAGGTACCGTAATAGATACTGGACTGGTAGACTATATGCCCGTTTTTTTGTTTGTTTGTCCCGATTCGAATCCCAGATTGATTTCAAGGTCTTGTATGTTGCATGACGGTAAGTAGAAGGTGTTCACACCCGACACTAGGCCATTAATTGTTAAGTATGCATGTTTACTATGATTTTGTAAGAGTTAGAGAATACGAAATTATGAACTTGAATATGGATAGGCTACCTAGCTGAACTATAAGTAGACCGAGAATTAGAATAAGAATAGACATGTGATGAGTTGGCAGTTGGATAAAGCTTGTGCAAGGGGTTGTAGATCTATTCATGAATGTGAGTAGGTGGTTCCACCCACCCGATGTTGGATGACATCGTATCAAGCTCGTTCTTCCATGAATGTGGTTGAATTAGGATTCTGGAGAGAATAAAGAATTGACCTTAGCCTAGGTTAAATTATGAACTTAGAATTAAGAAAGATTAGTTATGAGCTAAGGATATGGATTTTGTATCATAAATGCCTAATTCAAGAATGAGGTAATTTGGTAATCTAGGTTAGTAGGTTTGATTTATGAATTGTTTGATATTATAGATATTATTGATGTTTTACTCGTGTCCGTGATATTGTATGAAATTATGAGCTAGCGAGTTCATCTATATGCATCGTCGAACGTAATACATTTCTCACTTAACTTCAATGCTGAGCGTGTGACGTTTGTTCTCTTGCTACCCCTAGGTAACACGAATAACGATTAAGAAAACAATGATGGAGGGCAGTGATGGTGAGGAGATGGATGGTTTCCGGCTAAAAGAGTTCACTTAAGTAAATATATCATTTAAATTTATTATATTTTCGGTCAAGAACCTAAAGTTGTGTTTGAATTAAGTACATGAAGCTTCCGCACCATTTTGTTAACCCCCATGGATTTATAAATATCGTTTTCGAATTAAATGTTTTAAAGTATTTTGAAAACTATTGTGCTTGGATGCCAATTTAGTGACAACCCGATCCACTGGTCCTTGTATATATTTGGGTCATGCAGGTCAAGGTGTTACACCTTGCGATAGACAGAATCTAGTTATGGTTTAGAAGAAGATGATGCAGAGAAGAAGAAGCGAGAGGGGCCAGGAAGAAGAAGAAGAAAGGAGAAGCAAGAGAGGTCAGAGGGAGAAACAAAAGAAGCAAGAATGGAATCGCAGTAGGGGGTGAGATGAACCTGAGAGCTCCATTCTTCAATTTCTTCATCTTCTGCTTCTATAGGTACCCAAATTAATTGGCTTCCGAACTTAATTCGGAAGTCATACCATTAATTTTTCAATTCTTTTTTTGTTTCTATGTATAAGTGTTGTTTTCTCTCAATATATCATTTTTTGTTACTTGTTCTTGTAAAAAATTCTAAAAAAATTCTAAAAAAAGTATGGTTGGTGTTCTTTTTGGGTGTATGTTCTTTTTGAATATTTATATTAAATTCATTATGAATGAGAATTGATTCATGCTAATTTTCTTCAATTATTACACAAGTTGTTGAATTAGTTGAAATGTTAATTCAATTTCATGAGTAGGTTGGTATGTTGAGTTAGGTTTTTGTTGAAGCTATTCTAGCTCCATGTTATGGTTAGAATATTTCCGAATTCATGTGTGTTTCTTTGTTGTGCTTATGTTCGTTGGTTTTTAGGATTTTGGACCTCTTAGCCCCATAAGATGAGTCATTTTCCTTAGAATTCGTTATAGAGTGATTTTGTTATGTTTCATAATTTCGTTTGTTATTTTTATAAATTTATATTGTTTAAGTGCACTAAACAATTCTTGATTTATTGAAAATATATTGTGTTTATCTATGTGGATAGAAAAATGTCATCGGTTTGAGAAGCTCATGGAAATCTCTGAAATGTGCTCATCATTAGGAAAAAAGGCTTATTAAAATACATAATTTATTGACGATTTGTGAAGAGATTATGTATGAGAGTTAAATGCATAATAAAATCTCTCTTTTATAAACTTTTTTTTATAGTGAAAGTATGTTTTCATGCTTGAATAGAGTGTTGGGGTTCAAAAGAATATTCAAAATGAGCCTTTGAATTGAATGACTCCGGGCCATGTGGAGAATTGACAATCCTCCATATCGTGGTTAAGGAAATGAATCGACTCAGCCTTTGGTTTTTCCTATTCTTAAGTGCATAAGTTACATAATATATTGTCTACGTGCCTATTATACGTTAATGTTCGGCTTGTGTTTGTTCTCTTTTTCATTTTGTTTAGGGTTCTTGGCAATGTTTCTTGGATTACCTAAATTGGAGAAGTTGAGTATCTTTAAAGCTTATTTCCCCTATTTTATAAAAAAAACCAAAAAATAAGAAAAACAAAAAATCAAAAAAAATATTTACTTTTGATCAAACACCCTCCCTTTTGTTATATTGTTTTAGTTTATAATATAAGTTTTTTTACTAAGTTATATTATAAGTGTTTGTTTATACGTTATAAATATAAGTTTTATAGTTTTTAGTATATCTTAAGTATTTGTTATGAGTTTTTACGTTATATTACAAGCTCTTCATTTATATAAGTTATATTTATAAGTTTTTATATTCATTTAATTAAAAGTTTTATAAGTGTTATCATATATGTAGTAGTTTGTTTGTTTTGTTCAGTGAGAATGTGTGTGCATGCTTAAATGATTTCAAAAAAAAAATACTAACTTTATCCATGAGATCGACCCTTACTTACACTAACTATAGTGTTTGTTTAATTATATCTTTGGGGTTACTTAAGGTTATTTATAAATTTTTAATTTGTTTTGGACCGCACGACAGGTCTTCAACAAGGAGCTTCACACTGCGAATCCGTTCAAATTGGTTGGGTACTACTTCCCTTACGGTAACTTCATGATGCCCCACTCAAATGGAAAGAAAGTGACCAATTCTAAACCACCCGTTGGCGTCGAAATCATCACTGGTGTTGAGGGGACTTCCAATGTTGGAGTTCCAAAAAAAGGTCAGGGCTCGGGAGAATGCCATGTTGCCCTCCCACATATGACGCCAGTGTGAGCTACTTGCTCATCTTGAAGCTGCTATTTCTAACATGGTTAGTGAGACTCTAGATCCTTCCTGGGTTCATCATGACAGAGAAGTTAAAAGATCCTAGTCTTCTTGCACCATCCTTGGTGAGTTCGTCCAGTTATGGTAAAGAAGCTTCAAGCCCTCCCCAGATCCATCGTAATGATAGGACTACTAGGTCATGGGGTGACACCAATCCTGAAATCCTCTCAACTACATGGGAGATGGGGGGTCCCTCATAGCCCCCTTGTGTTCAAGTTCTAGACAAACCGGATTCGTCTTCCAGGGTTCTGCTGTAACGCCCTGAAATCCAGTTTAGTATTTTTAATTAATTTGTATAATTAGTTAATTACTAAGTCGATCGATACAAATACTATTTTCTAATTTGTCTATTTAATTTGAGAGTTGACCTACATTGTATGGCTCGTTGTTCTGAACCCGACCGCGCAAACGGATTGAGAATCAAACTTACTCGGCCAAAGTTACGACTGCCATATAAGGCAATTGGGCCTAAATTTATCCTAAGTAGTTGCGAAGCCTAAATTGGACCCTAAAACCTATTTAATTTTATACCGAGTATTAAATAGGAGGAGGGGGTTACGACACTTTGGATCTCTTTCTTTTACGCTGGTCTCTGTTCGGTTCTTTTGATCGGTTCCTATTCGTCACCGACTGTGTTCGTCGCCGTCAACCAGCAACCCCAGCAAGCCGTCGAGTCCACCTAGAACGCCGTCATCGCCATCGCCGTTTCCCCTCCCTTCCCCTTCGCATAGAGTCCCCGAGATTTCCTTACCCTGTTTGTCGTCGTCGTCCAGCGGCTCCACGGCATCACCAACCGGCGAACTCCGTCCCTGAGGAGCATCGCCGGTGAGCGTGGCAGCGGCATAGAGTCCGGCGAGAGTAGCAGCAGTGACGGGAACAGCAGCGGCAGTTTCCCTTCCTTCGATTCGAGTTTTCTTCATCGAGGTGATTCATTGCCAAAATATCTATGGTTAGCGTTAATTCGTAGATAAGGATCTTGTTTGTGTTAATCTTGCAATTGATTGTGGAATTTTGGTTGATTTGGTGTTGAATTGCTTGTGGTTTCGATTTGGGTCTGTTTTTGCAGCGACTCGCCTGTGGTTGGCTGGTACAGTCGACAGATTCGGCAGGTCCATTTTGGACCCAATTGGTCCAATTTAAACCCAATTGGTTCAATTTAGATCCAATTGGGTTGCTTCTTGTGCAATTAGATTTGAATGAGTTTAATTGGGCCAACCCGAGTCTAATTGGGACAAATTGAATGTAATTGGGTTGATTTGAGTTCAAATGGGTGTAATTGGATTGATTTGGGTTCAATTGGATGGTATTGGTCGATTGGGCCGCTGATGGGCCGGTTGTGAAAGGTAACCACGGTAGGGAGGGCAGCGGAAATACAAAATTTAATCTCCCAATAGTGATTACTAGCCCAAGAACACGTACTAAAACTATAGCTAGAGATACAAACTTATACCTTCTCCGGTAAAGCGGTATGAATGAGAAGTCGAGCAAAAGGTGTTGAAGGAGCAAACGTAGCCGTTCAAGCGTCCGGCCTCCAACTTTGACACACGAACAATCTCCGGAGTCTACTATAATTTTTATGCTAGTAAAGATTATAATAGTATATTTAATATAAAGATTATTTTAGGGATAATATAAATCTTGTATATTAAATAGTAGAAAATATTATGTCAATAATATTTTGAAGAAAATATTATAACAATTTTCTACACCCAAAATAATAACTTTTGGAACTCAAATATTATGCTACTCCATCTCTTCACTTGGCCGAATTGCCTACTTAAAGGAGAAAGAGTATATTATGTTTTAAAAGGGAATAATGCAAAACATTTTCAAAAGCAAAACTCCAAAATTACATCCCTTATCATGAAGTGTAGTGGGAGACAAAGCCCCACACACACACCACATTTGTACAGTGTACGAAAATAGAAAGGGGAAGAATTTAGTTCTCCTCCTCTCAAATGTTCAAAGTGTATTTTATTTTACATCAATAATTTTTATGATATAAAATAAAATACCCATAACATTTTAAAATAAGTATATATAAAATATACTTTAAAATAGTTTTTGTCAAAATAATTATTTTCATAATTAAATGACACTCCAAAATAAAATATACTCCAAAACATATTTTGATATATGTATTATTGTTATTACTACACCGTACGTACGCGTATAAGTAATAATGCATACATAAATATGCACACCACCATACATACATATATATGATATAAAAGTATAAAAGTTTTCTAAATTGTAAACGTGATATACACATATATATACATTATTATTATAACAAAAAAAAAAACGTACGTACAAAGTAATAAATACATATACAAAATATATTTACATATTTTATTTTACTATTTTACAATATACAAATTAAATATTATCCCTTTTTCTAATCTTACTCTTTAAATTGTTCAAAGTGTGTGACCCATATATGCACTTATAAAACTGGCCACAGTATTGACTCTACACCAATACTATAAGTAATAAGCGGTATCTAGCAACACATATTTACCCCCAGATTATAAGTTCAGACGTTTGCTCCGTCAAAACCTTTCTACGACTAAGACTTTGTATAACGTAGATCCTTTTGTCCCAATGTCTTAACTTAGTGCAAGGGATAAAATATCCAACTTGTAGCCATTAAGTTATCTACTGATTAACAAGTCTGACTGATGAGAACAGATGTCTAAACTTATCTCAGCATGGCCATGCAATTCTTCAGTCATACTTATCAGTGGGCCCTCTACAAGACATTATTATGCTTGAGTAGCAGTGACAAATTCTTTCTACGTAATCTATGTCTTCGAATATGTGCAGCGGCATGCCCAATACAAAGCCTGTGTACCATCCTTATTTCATACGGCTTAGGACAATGAATCAAAGCATGCGGGTTCACACATTCGAAGAACGTAATACTTCAAGTCTGAGGATCGTTATACCAATAGTCGCATTAAGGACACTTAGAGCATAGACTAAAAGTCTAGACAATGCCCTTAAGGTGGGTCAGGTCTGGCATCCTATTATTAACGATAATATCTGCCCGAAAGTAGATGCGAACACTCCGTCATTGACCAAGAGACTAGGTCAAACATCTAACTCTCACTAGTCTCACACGCATTACTATTATTAACGATAATATCTGCCCGAGAGTAGATGCGAACACTCCGTCATTGACCAAGAGACTAGGTCAAACATCTAACTCTCACTAGTCTCACACGCATTAACGATATCCTGCTCTCGTTAATGCTTCGACTATAGACCGTTCAGAATTATACTAAGTGACAAGATGTCAGTCTCAACGTCAGAAGACTCATTCTGATAAACATCTTATAATATAATTCTAGGAATGCAATTAAGAGTTTACATTAGCATGAGATGTTTGTAAACTTAATGCATCTGCCTTTACATGATAGAAAATATCTAAGATATTACAACAGCAGTTGGCCATAAGGGCACCAACTCCAACAGGTTGGTGTAATGCCGTGCAGCTGTTGGGCTGGTTTGGGCTGGCTATCCGAGGCAACAGTGGGGCTGCAGGGCGGTGGGCAGCCGCGTGGAGGGTTTGGGTTGTTGGTTTTTGGGCCGCTGGGCCGGTCCGGCGGGTTGTCGGGCTGATCTGGTGGAAATTGATACTGTTCCGGCGGCTGCAGCGAGCCTGAGGATAAATCCTTAGTCCCGAGTTCGCGACATAGGTAAGTTATTTTAATATTGTTGGGTTAAGTCTTGTTGTTGAGCATAACGGTAATCGATGAGAAGTGAACGAATCTTCCGATAGGCCGCTGAGTTAGTTTTTCTGTTTATGGAAATGTTTAAGTGATTGTTATCACTTGAGAACTCTGTTGAGAATTGGTCACCTAGTATATTTAGGTGAATCTGAACTGAATTAGATACTTAAATCACCAATAGGACTGTTGTTAGGTTCGGACCTTGTGGAGCATGTTTGCATATCAAGTGGTCTAGAGTTTAAAACATACGTACGGGATCACTGTTCTACCTAAAGGATTCCTCGATAGAGACTCCAACCCGCCCATTGAGGATTCTCTTTGAGTTTGTGTAACGCCCTCAAACCAACCTAGTTTTAAATAAATAAATATTATTTATTTATTGAGACTCATTATTTTAAAATAGTAATACTGAGAATTCGATCTCTTAAATGGCTTTCCAAAATTAATGTATTTTACTAACGGACCTCTCAACATTAATTACTCAAATAAATTAAGTAATGATTGGGATGGATCCGAAAGTTTGAAAATAAAGTTTTGAGAAAAATATTTTGAAGATATCATAAATTTAGTTTTGACTGGTTATTTCTGAAAATGCAATTGGTTCTCGATTTGGATCAGTTCGGGGGAAAACCGCGTACTGTACAGGTCAGATTTTACACAACGGAATAGAAATTAGGGAGATAACTCCCCATTTAATTACATCAATTCTCACGCCATTTGTTGAGGACTTGTCGTGCGGTCCAAAACAAATTAAAAATTTATAAAATATCCTTAACTAACCCCCACAATATAATCAAATAAAAACTATAGCTAGGGCAAGTAAGGGTCGATCCCACGGAGAAAGTTTGTACTTTTGAAATCAAAATAGCATGCAAACACGTTGTCACTAAAAAAAATAAAAATTAACTACTACACATATGATAAAACTTATATTTGTAACTTAAAACACAAGGGGGGTGGATGAAAAGTAAGTATTTTTTTGGTTTTTTATTTTTCTTATTTTTTTTGATTTTTTTGATAAAATGGGGGAAATAAGCTCAAAAGATATTACTTCTCCAATAAAGGTAACCCAAGAAACACCGCCAAGAACCCGAAACGAAATTAGAAAGAGAACAAACACAAGTCAAACATTACACGTATAATAGGCATGTAGACAATATATTACGAAACTTACGCACTTAAGAATAGAAAAGAACTCAAAGGCTCGAGTTGATTCATATCCTTGACCACATATAGAAGATCGTCAACTCTCTATAAGGCCCGGAGTCAAAGATTAAAAGGCCTTTTGGATCACTTTGAACTCCCACTCACCTCAAGCGCTCAAATAATGATTCCAAAAGATGAAAAAGTTTATAAAAAAGCGAATCTTTCTTTCATTCTATCTCCCATCCGCAAAGTATTCATGAAGAACATTTGATACACTTTAATAAACTTTAACGTCTAATGATGAAAATATTTTGCAGGTCTCCTTGAATAACTCAAGCATAAGAATTGTAATCTATTCACATAAGAAAAACATTACATATTTTCAAAAACTTAAAAATTGTTTTTGTGCTTAAACAACCTTAAATTTTATGAAAATCAACACAAAACAAACGAACAACATAACAATCACTCCATAACGAATCTTAAGGAAAATGTCCAACTTATGTGGCTAAGAAGTCCAAAATCCTTAAAATTTTACAAAACACATAGCACAACGAAGAATCACGTATAAAAATTTTCCAAAATCCTTTAATTGCTCAATGAGAATTAAAATAAAACTAAGCTAAACTACTAAAAATTAAACTCTAAAAATATTAAAAATGCCTAAAATTGAATAAAAAGAACCAAACCAAACCCGAGTTATCACCACCCACACCTCCATACCATTCATTTTCCCTTACAATTAATCCCCATTATTATTCTATTAATTTTCATTCAATATATTAGTCCCTTCCCTTTACCTTCTCCACCACATTTGTAACTCCCACACACACACAACCCTCATCCTCCTTCGCTTGCATTCTCGGCCAACCAGCAGGCGAGGTGGTTTCCGATGAGAAGGGGAAGAAGAAGGGAGAAGAGAAGAGAAGTTCACACGAGAAGCCTTTTGTTGACCATTCGGCCGTTCGTTTGACGTCATTCGTTCATCTCGTTCCCTCGTTCCGCTAACCCCTCCAACTAGAGGTGAGTAGTTATCCCCTCTAATTCTAGAACATTTAGTTATAATCTATGTCGTTATATTCATAGGAATATCGTACACAACCTACGTAGAATCTATGCATGTTCGTAGGTTAGCCATCAAAACGTTCACTTCGTAAAACATATATATATTGGCCTAGGAATCACTAGGAGTATACTCATCAATGTTGTATCATCATACTAAAAAGAATCAAGGTGTTAAGTTGGCAAAATGGATCAAAACAGAGCCAAAGATAGAAGACTGTCTTCGGGATGATCGACCACCGCTACGACGGTGGATCGTTCCCTCGGCCAATCCGACGGTCACCACCGTGACGGTCGACCGCCGGCCGCGACGGAAGACCACGGTGGACCGTCGGCGTTCCAGGCCCCCATATCGTAGCCCATGGTCGACCTTATCGGTAGGGTATGGTCGACCGTTCATCGGGTAGATTTTCAGGCAGCCCTGTTGACCATATTGACCCAGAACCTGATCGTATGTTGCATGAAATGTTAATCTTCATTATAAATGTTATTTAATTGATATATTCTTGGCATTGACCAAAGGTAAATATATCAAGCATTCATCATGTTCATCCTAGATGCATGTCCTAGGTTTATCATCATGTGCATACCGCTGTAGGGAGGTTAGGCTTTCGTGCGCCTACTACAGTGGGCCCGTCCAGGAACCTTTGGGATCCAACGGGTTTTCATCAAGTGGGCTTTGTGTGCGTACATGGTAGTCAGGCTAAGGCTACCACCCGGTTTTGCTAGTCCACTTGCGACATTTATGTCGAGCCCGGCTCATTACTGTTCGTGTATGATAACCGGAGTGCAGGGGTGATCCTGTTAAGTGA